ATATCCTTGCCTCCTTTGTCAAAGATAAGGTGACCATAGGTTCGTGGATTTATCTCTGGGCTTTCTATTCTGTTCCATTGATCTATATTTCTGTCTTTGTGCCAGTACCATACTGTCTTGATGACTGTGGCTTTGTAGTAGAGTCTGAAGCATGACCTTAGTTTTTTGAATGATGAGTTTCAACTCCATGTACAGTATGGGGTAGAGTAGTCCCATAATAAAAAAAAAAAGGCTTTAAAAGTAGGAATCTAGCATCCATGAAATCCATTCTACCCTAGAGGTTCGCTGGTTCTCTGGCACTCTTGTGCTGAGAATCCTCTGGGGATCTTGTTAAGGATGCAGGCAGGGATTGTGTTAAGAAAGCCTGGGAATCTGCATCTTTACAGGCAGTGGGTGCTGGGGATGCCCAGTCGTGGACTCTGAGCACCATCACCGCCAACACCTGCACTCACCTCCGCTCACCCCTGGGGACCGTCTGCCCCCTCACAAAATCAGCACTTTGAGTTGCTTTAGCCTCAGTTGTGTTTCTCCAACTAGTGGATGGGTGGCTTTTGCCCTGGGCTAATCAGATTCTTTTTTGCATCTGCCATGCTCAGGAACCCTTAGTGTTCTGTCCTCCAGCTGCAGGGGGACTAGCTTTTCTTCATGGCGGGGATCTTCCCTGTGTCACTTTCCTCCATCTTCTCCTAACTAGATTTGACCTCCTGTTTGGAGCTCCATACTTCTGGGGTTCCCCTTGCACCCCACTCCCCATCACGTCCTTTTCACTCTTCACTCTTTCAGAGAAGTCTCTTAATGAGTCTCTTTGCCCCTTTCCACTGGCCAGACACAATCATATAGCTATTGCCAGTAAAATCTATCCAGTTATTATTTTAACACTCTCCAAAAGATTGATTGTAAACCACGGGCAGAAGGGAAAAGAAAAAGCTTCATAAATTTTAGGAAATTGCTTACTTTTCCTTGTGTTCCAATCTTGGCTATAGCTACCACCCCTCATGTCTCTGCAGGAGCCTGGCGTGTGACCGTGACCCTGGCTTAGAGGCTCAGCACTGTCCACACCTTCAGTCCAGGCCGCCAGCATCAGAGGATCTGATCAGCAGGCATTGCTGTGGGTGGCCAGACTTGTGCTATCCACACCTTCAGTCCAGGCCGCCAGCATCAGAGGATCTGATCAGCAGGCATTGCTGTGGGTGGCCAGACTTGTGCTAAACACTAAACACATGCTAGGGGCTTCCCTGGTAGTCCCGTGGTTAAGACGCCACACTTCACTGCAGGGGGCACCCCAGTTCCATCCCTGGTTGAGGAAACTAAGATCCCACTCGTCATGCGGCATCACCAAAAAGGAACTCAGTGGTGGAAAGAGACATGGCTAGAAAACATGCCCCTACAGTCCAAATGCGCGGAGCACTTAAAACCGAAAATTAGATCCAGACGTGACTGGCTCTGTAATTAAGCCTGGAGACCAAAAGGATCATGAATGAATATGGCAAATGAAACATTGATTTCCAGGGGGCCTCTCTCTGAAGGAAGGTGCCCAGTGGAGTGAACAGACTCTGGTGCCCCCCCTCCCCCACCTCAGCCTCCCACTCTCTCCTTTTCCTACCCTACCTCCTTTCATGCTTCGCATTGGCACTTTACAGGCGATTACCCAGTAAATGACTTCCAGGATCCTACTTATGAATATTTAGATAAGTGCTCAGATTCTTTTTCCCCCAGCCGTCACGCTTACTGACTCTGAAATGGTTCCAGTTTTTGGGGCTCCACTGGAGCACAAACCCTGACACAAACCCCACATGCACCGACTTAGCCTGTAAAATACTCCCCATCATGTGCTGGCAGCCAGCACCCGGGAGCTCCTGGCTTATGTGGGCTCGCCTCTGCTACTCCCTTCTCCCTCATAGGGTTTCTGGCTCCTAATTTCATTTAAGCCACATTTGAGCTACAAAATCGAGCAGGCATGGATGGGGGCAGGGAAGCGAGGTGCCGGTCGGGAATCTAATTCACCGCTGCCATGACTACAGATGTGAAACTAATGTGTGACTCTGTGATGGATCAATCTCACTAAGGCTGGGCTTAAATTATTAATCATGGCGAGAGAAGATGCCGTTCAGGGGTGCATTCCCAGGATCCTAGGGCAAAGGGCCTTTGGGCTTAACTGGGCTGAGAATTAAGATCCTCAGTGCAATCTTGCCAAACTCTCTCTTGAGTGTCTCCTAATTGTGGCCACACAAATTCCTGCTATGGATGGTCTTGGCTCATTCTGAACCAGGGCTGGCTTTGACTGCACACTCAGACGGAGATTCTGGGGTGGGTCCCAGTCCTGTCACCACGTGATTATTTAGAGATGGGCTCTGTCCCCAGGGAACCGGCCTGTAATCTGGAAAGGAAATGGCCTGTGTCCCCCGGGAAATAGGGCCTGTGTTCATGTGGAACAAGAGCAGGAAAACTAATGAGGGGCAGGAGGAGATGGGAGAAGGTATTTGTCTTAGCGCTCTGCTGATGCTCTTTCTCTGAGAGGGGTCCAGGATGAGGGGAAGGGAGGGTCACAGGGACAGGGTGACCCAGGAAGCAGTATGCATCATCAATCTGACGGGTGATGCTCCAGCCTCGATGTTCCACCTCCATGGGACACCCGCAAGGCCACGTCTCTCCAGACCCCCAGAGCCTGGCCTCGAGGTGGGTGTGGGGGGTGGGGTCCCTTACCTGTCTTGCTTTCATAAATCCAGTCTGTCTGTGTACTCTGGTCCTGGGAGGTCGGAAACTCTCCCTCGTGCTTGACAAACGATGTAGATGGCATCGTGTCCTCGAGAAGAGGCCTGCTGCTGGCAGATTCAGGGGATGGGAGAAAGGACAGTGAAGAAGGTGGTTACCCGAGGGATGCCAGCCACAGAGGGTCCACCTCCAGGCAGGTGCCGGGTTAGAAACCCCACAGCTGCTGCCTGCAGGGAGGCTGGGGTGGTGGCGGCTGCTCCCTGGCCCCTGCAGACTTCCACCCATCCCAGGACCATCACAAGGGAGTGGAAGATAGGCCTGTGGGCCATTCTGGGTGCCAGCTGCCGCTTCACTTAGAGCGAAAGGATCTGTGGACGCCTTCAAAGGCTAGCGGGCCAGGCTTCCATAATGGACAGTCCAGCCTTCCAGAACATTCTCTGCCTCTGCCAGCTCACCACCCTGCTCATTCCAGTCGCCCTTCCTGCCTCACGCTGCCTCAGGCAGAGCAGAGCAGCGCGTCAAGTCAAGCACTGGGGTCTGTGCCTGCCAGCCCACCCGCTGCACACACCGTCATTTTCAGGGAAGGTTTTGCAGGGCTCGAGGACAGGCCCTCGGGTGTGAGGTGCAGACCCTGCTACCTGGGAGCTCGGGATCAAAAAGGTGCCCCAGCACCCTGCTCCGCACCGCGTCCTTCCTCAAGAATCTCTGCTAAGTAGGCAAGAAACCACTTCAGAGAGATGAGAGGGGCTTTTGACCCTGAAGTCACGTCATGTTGACTGGCCCCGTTGGCAGAGACAGGTGTGAGAGAGATGCCCAGCTGACAAGGGGGGCAGTGACTATGGACGGCAGAAAGAACGTACTTTGGAGTCGGCTGGTCCGAGTTGGAGTCTTGGCTATTTTGAGTAGAGTGCAGTAACCTTGGGTCATGCCCTTAACTTCTCCGTGCCTTGGTTTCCACACCATTTTTTTTAAGTTGGAGGATAATTGCTTTACTACGTTGCATTGGTTTCTGCCGTCCAACATCGTGACTCAGGCATAAGTATACATATATCACCTCCCTCCTGAACTCCCCCCACCCCACCCAACCCTTCCCGCTAGACTCAGTGCCGGGCTGGGCTCCTTGTGTTACAGAGCAGCTTCCCACTAGTTACCTGCTTTATGCATGGGAATCAAATGGTGAAAACTGTAATTCAAACAGACACCCGTACCCCAGTGTTTCACACCTTTTAGATAATCATACCTCCCCCCTGCACCAGATCTTCATAGGTGAGGACAAAATGAGAGTGGGCAGTGTTGGCTCTTAGAGGCAGTGTTGTTTTTAGAGGCAAAGTAAGAAGTTCAATGGCCCTTCATGAGACGGGCTGGTTTCCTGTGGGCTCAGGGTTCCCTGATGCAGGGAAGTCACCATGGGAACACCATTCTCCCTTCAGCATCTGCGGGCGTTACGGGTGGATTTGTGCCACCTCTCGGGGCCCGGGGGCGGGTCTGTGCTGGCCCACAGGCCCCAGCAGAGTGGCTGCGTTCTCAGGGTGCGCTACTGGGGCACCCCGGGGGCAAGCGGCAAGATGCTCAGGTTTTAGTCAAGTGACCACAGGGGTCAAGAACTAGTGGAGCAGGGCGAGCTTTTCCGGCAGGTGTCACGTCTTGCACTGCTCCGGGCCTCGAGGCCGCATCAGGGGCTTCTCTGAGCTCAATGTCTTATCCTGCTGGTGGGATGTTGCTGGGATTCAAGGAGAGAGTACAAGTTCCCATGGTCAGACCTTGAGAAGCCAAAGCGGTCGGCCAACAAGCAGCAGGATTGTGCCTGAGGTCACAGAGGGCTGCTCTAGTCATGATCATTCTCATGTGCACTTGCCCTCCCTGCCACGTCTGCCCAGGGCCGGGACGATGCAGGGTCCTCTGGGGCGCCTGCCAGGGCTCTGCTGTGACCTTAGCACCTGGGAGAAAGACTGCATTTCCAAACACCAGCGCCCTGCTTTATCAGCAAAGCAGGGACGCAGGGAGGAGCCCCTGGTCCCAGATTCCACGTCTGCTTCTGCAGCTGCGTCACAGCGGGGACGGGGCCTGGTGTGTGCCCGGGCACCTCACGTCAGGCCTGCAGAGTGCGTGGGCTGGGGGCAGGTGGTTTTCTGCTTAGGAGGAACCCAGGAAACACTTGAGCTGAGTCTGTGCCCCCTCCCCGCTGACCTTAGCAAACACATATCTGTGGGACACTTCTTGTCCAAAGGGGTTTCTGAAGATTTCAGTCTTAGCAGCGTTGGGTGAGGAAAATCCAGGGCCTCTCTGAGCACGCCAGGCTGAGCCTTGGCCCTGGGGAGCCAAACTGAACTGCCTGGGGGCAGACCCAGGGGAGGCCTGGGGCTCCCCGCCGGCTGGGAACAGAAGCACAGGCCGCAGCAATGCGACTGAAAGATTGGACGGGTGCTTGTGTTGGGAACAGAGCTGACCAGGAATCCTGCTCCTCGCTGTACATGTGTTCAGGTTTTTTGCGTGGTGACTCTTGGGGAGCAGAATGAAGGCTAACAGTGACCCCCAGCCCTTACTGCACCCCATGAGTTAGTACTTGTTTAATCCTCACCACAGCCCCGCCCCAGGATGCACAAGAGCAAAGAATCTGCCTGCCAATGCAGGTAGACCCAAGAGACTCAGGTTCGATCTCTGGGTCGGGAAGATCCCCTGGAGGAGGAAATGGAAACTCACCCCAGTATTCTTGCCTGGGAAATCCCCTGGACAGAGGATCCCTGGCATGCTGCAGTCTGTGAGGTCACAAAGATTTGGACACAACTGAGCCCCGGGGAAGCAGAAACTCTTCCTGTCCCCATTTTACAGATGGGAACACCAAGGCAGAAGATGAAGAGGCTGCCCTGCAGCGCACAGCTGGCTGGGTGGAGCAGCTGAGATTCACGCCCAGGCAGCCGGACTCTGGGGTCCCTGTTCTCTATCACAGCCTGACCGGTCACTTCACCGTCAGGCCCCTTCAGCATCACGTTGCTTGCTTCTCTGTGAGTGTCAATGGCTGAAGTGGAGGGGATTCCGGAAAGCGCTCCCTCTGTGGACTGGCGTAGTGGGGCGGTCCTGGCAGATGCTGAGCCTCTGAAACCGTGAAGCATGATCCAGAGGGGCTGGTGGAGGGTGGGAGTGGGGAGCTGACCTCACCAGGTGAAGGGGTGCCCCTGTACAGAGCCCCGGCTCCTCAAGTTACAGGCCTATGTCTTCCCTGCACAGTAGAGCAGGTTTCATTCCTGCTTCTCAGCGTAACCCAGCCAGCCTTGCACTTTCTTTGTATCTAGTGTCAACCCACGTCCCCACTGGAGGTCAGCAACCACCTTCTCCCAGTCATCCTTTGGGGCGGTTGTAGGGGATGAAGCCTGAACCAGAGCTTGTGTGTCCCCTGCCCCACGGGGGTGTCTACAGAGCGGCACAGACAGGCTTCTGTCCACGGCTCTCGCAGTAACCATCCAGCCTGGGTCAAGCCCTGCGGCAGGAGTTCCATGAATACTCACTGCACGATCATTTGGAGCTTGGAATACGCCTGAGCAAGGAAGATGGCAACTTCCTGCGGCGTTCACTCACCTCTTCACTACGAGCCATGCCCAGGGCCCTTGGCCATCTTTTCCCACGCTAACCTCCTTTCTAGACTCAGCTGGCCGCTGCTCTTTCCATAGTTCTGGGTGCCCAGGGCTCTGGATCCTGGGGCTTGCCTCTTAGCTTGTGAATGGCTTGAATGGCAAAGGGGAATAGTATTGGGAGAGCCTTTGTGTGTGACTTCTAGGAGACCGCCCCTGAATCCCTGCTTCTCGGAGGTCCTGCTCCCTGTGCCCCTACCCACTCTCACCCCTGCTCCCAGTCTTTGGGATTTCAAAGACTATGAAGCATCAGCCCTCAGCATGAATTTTCACCCTGATCTATTGGAAAAAAAAAAAAACCCACCAAAAAACTTTTACCTTGCTTTAAGACCAGGCAGGGTTTGTGAAGAATGAGCCTTTAAGTCTGTTGGAAAAAAGAACAGAAAGACAATGTTAGGGGAAAAAAAGAAACTTTCTTTCTGTTGAAAAACCTGTCATTAATTATGTGATGCTGGGTTTGAGATGGAGAAGCCCTGATTTACAGACTTTTTCTATGTTTGCTTTTTTTTGGTGTTCTCTCTCTTGTTTCCTTTAGAAATTATGAGGTTAAAATTTTTATAAAATTATAACTCAAGAAGGTAATTTTCATGAAATTGTAGATTTGGGACATTCAAGTTTGCTTTGTTAGTCTTTTGGGTTATCACAGAGTCCCCCCTCTGTCACAGGAGGAAGGATATTTTCTCTATACAGGAGAGAGGCTGAGGCTCAGAGGACATAAATATTTTAAAAATGATATTTAATTTTACAAACTCTATTTGTGTCATTTAATCACCTGACTATTGGGTTTGAATGATATGACATCAAGAATTTCAGGTACAATTGGGATAAAATAGAGCATCAGTTCTAGTAATAGAGGATGGCAGAACGGAAGTGTAAAGAAATGAGAATCAGAAAATTTGAAAGTGAAACTTAAATGTTCAACACTTGTCCATAGTTTACCCATGAGATAGACTATTATTGAGGAATCTTACTTGGCTATTAAAATGATGTCTACAGGGACTTCCCTGGAGGTCCAGGGGTTAAGAGCCCCCCTTCTAGTGCAGGGGATGTGGGTTCGATCCCTGGCCAGGGGGCTAAGATCCCACACCACCCGCCGTAACTGGAGAAGACTGCCACAATGGGCGATCCCGCGTGATGCAGCCGCAACCTGACACTGCCAAAATAAATAACAATAATAAATAAGTATTAAAAAATAAAGTGATGGATACAAACATTAAGCAATATGGGCAAATGTGAAGGTCACAATACCAAGTAACAAAAGTAAAATACAGGCTTGTTTATACAGAGAATTTGAAATGGTAAAAACAAGACAAAACACGGACCACCAACACCACCAAACATGCCAAAAATGAGCGCAGGAGAGACAATAAAAATTGCTAAAATGTGAATCAGCCTTATTTATATTCAGATGTTGGTGGGTTGGGTGATGTCTTTCTACTTTTCAAATTTTCCACTAGAAAATGAACAAAAGTAGATTTTGCTTCATTTTATGTTACTCCTCTCAAATTAAAATATGCATATAATTTATTAAAAAGCAGAAACAAAGGATGAAAGGAGGGAAGAAAGAAAAAAGAGAAGTGATTAGAAGAGAAAGAGAAGGCTTGGAAGCGTCTCTTGACCCTTTTAGTTATTTTCCGTGACCTTGGAGAAGTCACATACCCTCTCTCAGACTCCAGGTTCCTCATTTGTACTGGGAGGAGGGTGGTAAAGAGTGACTGAAGACTTGATGGAAACCAAGACTGAAATGTACACTATACACTCTATGTCACTGGACTGTATTCCTAACCTTCAGGACAAGACAGGTATAGAAAATGGTGTCGTTTGTACGGGAGCAGCGTGGAGGCTGGGGGAGCTAGGCACCCAGCATCTCTCCCCAGTAGTGGCCAACTCAAGGCACCCTGATTGGGAAGCTCTGGCGTATTTGTGAACTTTGCTGCTTGACAAGTGTCTGCCTCCCCTGTCTCTGACTTATCAGGATATCTCAAACCTTTCTTTTTAAATACACAGAATTGCTAGGTTCCCCATTTAGAAATGGTCCCTGGGATGCCAACTCTCACTTGGAGACAGCAACCAAATTATAGCACTTAAGTCAAACAGCATTCAGAGCCGCCAAAGAGGAGCTAGCAAGGGGCAAGAAAATCAAATCCCGTGGATTGCGTGTCTCAAAAGGTCAGTAAGTAGAAACATTATGAATCAGTATACTGTGACATCTCTACAGCATCATTTGCCACAGCGCAGAGTTCATCTTTAGGAAGGTCTTCCCAGGTGGCACTAGTGGTAAAGAACCCGCCCATCAGTGCAGGAGATGTGAGAGACTTGGGGTCCATCCCAGGGTTGGGAAGATCCCCTGGAAGAGGGCATGGCAACCCACTCCAGTGTTCTTGCCTGGAGAATCCCATGGACAGAGGAGCATATCATAGGAAGGTCTTAGGTTCTAAATAAACAAAAGGGACCACGTTGTGGGGTGGTTTCCTGTTCTGTGAGAGCATGTCAGAAATGTAGATTGTATTTCTTCCTTCTAGAACCTTCCTGTACCTTGTGAGATCAGACATGCCTTTTTACACCTGACAAGTGTGTGGTGTGGGAGTGCTTTCAAAGCTTTTCAGAATGGAAATGAAAGAACATTGCCACAGTCACAGTGTATTTTTTCACATGGTAAAAGGGAAACCTGGAACAGGTAATCAACATGCCCCAGGTCCAAGGCCCACCCTTGTGCTGGATCTTCTAACTCTGACACCCCTGGGTTCACACCCACGCTTCACAAAAGTGATTTGGAACCTCCCGGTTAAAATCCTGGGAGATCCGTCAGACGTGACTATTGATTATTCAGTGACAGTTGGTGCTGCATTGATATTCAATTTGCTCATCCAATTTTATTGGATTTTCTCACAAACCATGGAGAAAATAATCCCTTTAAAGAAGAGAGGGGATGGGGGTCGTTGGTCTGATGCTATACTGATTGGTCCAGGGCAATGAGAGTCTGTGAAATTGATCTGCCTGCAGAGTAGTTGGGTGGGGGCATAGATTCCTTCCACACCCTAGTTCATTGCGTCTTCTCTTGTCTTTCTGTTATGTCCATTTTACAAAAGAGAGCAATGTGGCCAGGGGATGTTACCTACCCTTCACAAGTCAGTGATAAAGGGAATGATAATACATAATAATAATAATAGCTAGCACTTACATAGGTTATATGCTATATGCTATATGCCTGGCATAGCTCATAATGCTTCACATAATTTAACCCCTTTAATCTTCACATAAGGTAGGGCTAGTGCTATCCCGAAGGGCCTTCCTGGTGGCTCAGCTGGTAAAGAATCCTCCTGCAGTGCGGGAGACCCTGGTTGAATCCCCGGGTCATGAAGATCTGCTGGAGAAGGGATAGGCTAGCCACTGCAGTGTTCTTGGGCTTTCCTGGTAGCTCAGATGGTAAAGAATCTGCCTACAATGTGGGAGACTTGGGTTTGATCCCTGGGTTGGGAATATCCCCTGGAGAATGGATAGGTTACCTACTCCAGTATTCTTGCCTGAATTCCATGGACAGAGGAGCCTGGCAGGCTACAGTCTGTGGGTTCACAAAGAGTGGGACACGACTGAGCGACTTTCAGTGTTATCCCTAATTTACAGCTAAGAAAACTAAGAGCAGTTAAGTGACTTGTCCAAACTCATGCAAGATAAATGGGAGAGAACTGGTGTTCACACCTATGCAGTCAAGCTCTTGAGAGAGGAAGAAAAAAGTGCTCTTTGTGACAGGTTCACATCTGCCACCAAATTAATAAATGACATCAGGCTCCTTCCCTCCTCTCTTGATGCTGTGGCAGACATCACTAGTGGATCATGGCATTCTCTCCTTCTGAGGCCAGATGAGGTATCAGAATCTGTCTCATGACAGTGCTTCACCACTAACGTCTAATAATTCATCCATTAGCCAGTGATATGGAAGCCTATTTGTCATTGTGGGTTCATTTTATAGACATTGATTAATTCACAATGCTGTTTTTAAAAATAAATATGAGTGATTGGGATTGACATATACAAACTACTATATATAAAATAGTTAATTAATAAGGATCTACTGGATAGCACATGGAACTTAATACTCTGTTATGGCCTATATGGAAAAGAATCTAAAAAAGAGTGGACATACGTGTATGTATAACTGATCTACCTTGCAGTATACCTGAAACTAACACAACATTGTAAATCAACTATACTCCACCATAAAAATTAAAAATCAAAATGAAAACAACAAAAAAAGAAAAAATGTGTTTGTGTATGTGTGTGTCTATATATATACCTGGCTTTGTGAAATGAATGAAATTGAACTTGATCCAATTTGCATTTACTAAACATCTGTTATGAGTCAGGAAAGCACTCTTGTTTGACACTGAGTTTCAAAACAAAGGATAAACAGTTATATCTTTAAGATACTGGGAAGAAATTCTACATAAAGAAATCTTGATGTAAATTCTTTCGAAAATTAAAGATTCTCTTGTAAACCCTTTTAACTTAATCTGTTTTGTACAGTCTGGCTTGGTACCCTGAGTTTTCATAGACTAAGACATGCTTGCATGTGCCTTTAAAGGCATTTTAGTATTCTACAGTTTTTTTTTCAGTGCCTCGCCAATATTTGCTAGCAGGGCATTTATTTTCAAAGCTTTTGCTTTTATATACAGTTCCATTCACTTGACAGCATTCTATTTGTCCTATTCTGGTGGGTAATATATTTACGAAGGTCCGACACGTAGCGGGGACACGTGAAGAATGCTTGATTCATACTGTGCAAAAGAAATGGCTTGAATGCTGTTTTTCAGCGTTAGAATTACTCTTGGTACTTGCAGAACAGGGCTGTTAGGATTCTGAGAGGGAGCTCAGTGGTGCAGACACACGGAAAAGAGAATTTCCCAGCAAGAGGAATGACCTCTCCAGTGTGCTAACTAAACTGGTGAAGGCAGTATGAATGTATTGACAGGATGATACATCTGTCATGATTTGATGGAGAGGATGTAACGGTGAAACACCTGTGTGGCTGCCGAAACCACCAAGCTTTTAGGATGTGGGCTGTGTGCAGTCAGATTGGGATTTAAAAATTCAAGCTGCTTGAGATGCTTGCTTGTTCCAGAAAATAGTTCTATTTCTAGGTCAGCATTAAGATGATGCAGATGACCTGGATTTTTAACTTTCTGTTTCTGGCCACGCAGTCATAACATCAAGGGAAGACACTGTGTGGCCTGTGAATAAATGCATGTTACCCACTTGGAGCAATAGCACAAGGAGACCACTGCCAAATGATAAAACCCAACTTAAGGAAAAGTTGCCAACTGCAGAAACAGTATGGGGAAAATATGAGCCTTAGGATAAGAGAAACCACTCCAAAGTTAAGTACCCACCAGCAGGGTAAGGTGACGCCTTCCAGGGCCTGAATGGGCACCCAGGGAAGCATCCGAGTCTCTGTTGACTTGGTAACACATTATGGAAATGTGTTCTAGAAAATAATTAGAGCTCATTAATAAAATTTAGCTATAAGGATATTTATCAACATGCTGTTTTGAAAGGTAACAGAAAACAGAAGCAATAAATGATTAATAATAGGAAGCCAATTAAAAATATTATGGTTTGGGGAAGTCCCTAGCAGTCCAGTGGTCAGGATTCAGGGCTTTCACTGCCAAGGGTGTGAGTTCAGCCCCTGGTCAGGGAGCTAAGATCCTGCAAGTTGTACAGTGGGGCCAAAAAAAATTAATACAAGGTGATGTAGCCAATAAAATGATTTGTAGAAAATCAAAAGTGTGAAATGATACTCCTATAAATATGTAATATTGATATGTAATTATGATATAGAAGGGGCTTCTCTGGTAGCTCAGCTGGTAAAGAATCCGCTTGCAGTGCAGGAGACCCCAGTTTGATTCCTGGGTCGGGAAGATCCCCTGGAGAAGGGATAGGCTTCCACTCCAGTATTCTTGGGCTTCCCTCGTGGCTCAGATGGTAAAGAATCTGCCTGCAATGCAGGAGACCTGGGTTCAATCCTGCAGCTTGGAAGATCCCCTGGAGGAGGGGATGGCAGCCCACTCCAGTATTTTTGCCTGGAGAATCCCCATGGACAGAGGAGCCTGGTGGGCTACATCCATGGGGTCACAAGAGTTGGACACAACTGAGCGATTAAGCACAGCACATGATATAGAAATAAATATGCCTTAAAGGGCAGGTTACAAGCACTATACAGTGTCTGGGGAGGACATAATCAAGGTGCAAAAGTGATTATCATCTCTGGATGGGAGTGAATTTTTCAGAAATTAAAAAAAAATTTTTTGGGGGGCCACACAGCATGTGGCCTCTTAGTTCTCCAACTAGGGATTGAACCCATGGCCCCTTCAGTGGAGGTGTGTAATCTTAAGCAGTGGACCACTGGGGAAGACCTTGAATAAGACTGATTTTTGCTTTTGCTTTTTTCTTTTTACTTGTATACGGTTTCTCAAACGTCCACCATGCACATGTATTACTTGTGCAATAAGAAAAGGAAAAGATACAAATTCGGGGGTGTGTTCTGTTTGTCCGGTTTTGCTTTTTATGAACAGAGGCTTCCTGTTGGATCATCAGGTCTCCCTGTCTACTTGGTAGGCTCAGGGCTTGGGGGCACAGTTACTGAAGTCATGAGTAGGCTGATCAAAAATGATTCATGAGGCTGTCAGTGTGGTGAGTAGGACTGATCATTTGCACTTTGGCTGTAACTCAAGCCTGTTCTTTTTTTTCCTGGGCCTTGTAATGAGCTAGAACCGCCATCCACGGGACGTCCTCCCCAGACACTCACTTGCTTCCAGAAACTTCTCATACAGAAATATTTTCCCTTCCAGGAGTTCTTTCTTCTGCAGATTCTTATGGCCCTTCAGATAATCCTGTTCAAACTGATACTCGTTTCCTTTCAGGTAATTTGCCTCCCTCTCCAGGTACTGGTCTTTCTCCGGAGTCTCATCCTCTTCAGGAAGTAAAAGTCCTTCCGTTAAACTCTGCTCATCTCCCTTAGTACCTTCTTCCATCGAGGAGAAGGTCTGTGTGTCGTGGTGGAAAGTTGTGGAAGGGTGGGGAGGTGGTGTTCCTGATGGCTCAGGATTTTCAGCAGACATGCTGGGAGGCATTTAGCAGGTGAAAGCCTTCTGCAGCAGGCAGTCACTACTTCATCATCCTGGCAACAAGGAAGGAATAAAAACACGTTAGTCAGTAATGACCTACTGCAGATTGTGCACTCACTTCATTCAGTGGTCTTGGGATGGCCCTGGGAGAGTGTAGATCAGTACCTGGTGGCCCATGAAAAGTCACAGAGAGAGGAGAGAGAGGGTTTACCCTCTGGGAGCTGCCTGGAGAAAGACCACAGCTGAAGGCATCGCCTTTGAAATGACCTGAAGTCAACCAAGAGGGCCGGAAAGTGAGGGAGTGACTGGTGTTTAGTGGTGAAATCATTAGAAGACTTTTGCTTATTCATTAAGAAATACTCATTGCTACAATAATCAGAACACAGACTTGTCTCCCAGGAGTTTCAAACTGGGGAGAGAGAAAGACAGTCAAACAGAGGTTTCCATACACAGTGACAAGCACGATGGAAGAGGTGCAGGCAGGGTGGTTTAGACACCATGGGCGGGGTCTGGGCCCGTGAAGGTCCCTGTGGTTGGACGTCTCCCAGGCATGTCTTCCAGCCTCTGCTGGAAGCACCACCCCCTTGGCAAAGTCAGTTTACTCAGCAAATGCTTATTTTTAATCCCCAGATTTGACATAACTGTGAGCACCTATATGCCCCAGGGGGTCTTCCATGTTCCACCCTAGGCTCCATCAATACCTTCTATATTTCCATGAAAGTAATGATTTTGCTATATTAAACAGTTTCTACATCTGTCTTTCCAACAGAATGTAAACTTCTTGAGGGTAGGAAGGATTAATTCTCCTTTTTTTTTTCTTTTTTTTTTCCCATTTATTTTTATTAGTTGGAGGCTAATTACTTTACAATATTACAGTGGTTTTTTGTCATACATTGAAATGAATTAGCCATGGATTTACATGTATTCCCCATCCCTGTCCCCCCTCCCACCTCCCTCTCCACCCGATCCCTCTGGGTCTTCCCAGTGCACCAGGCCCGAGC